TTTTTTTTTTGGGGTGTGTTTTGATTATTAGGACTGTAAGAATCAGTCTGGGTGGCTGCTTAGACAAGGCGCCCCGAGGCTGAAACGATTCGTATCCTTATAGGTGAGAATATCACCTTAGACAAAAATTGGGCTTAGGTGATGGGCTACCACCCGATTAGCGTCTTTTACAAGCATACTATCTATTCATTGCAAATCTTAATTGACCCTAGTTGATGATGATTGATGAGGAGGATCGACCGTGCTTGAATTATGTTGTAAATGTCATAATACAAAATTATAGCTATGGGTGTGGAGTTGACTATCATTTTAAACAAAATGTTTGCTCTGTGCTTTTGTTAGGGGTTGAAAATGACAACTTCTAGCAGCATTTGCTCTGCCCCCTTTTATGTTTTATGCAGAATGATGATGTTCAAAATCTTCAACATATGGTCCACTTGGGTACCAATGTACCATAAACAATAGTGTTTTTTTTTTTTTTTTTTTTTTTTTTTTTTTTTTTTTTTTTTTTTTTTTTGTCTTAGCCACAAAGTAAAGATATCATGGGAACCCATTCATATGAATAAATTAGCTAAGTGTGAAGCCTGAGAAATGAGTAGCATTGAGCATGAAGTGATGCCCACAAGGCATAATAATGATGTATAGGAGTGGACTCTTCAATATATAAATTTGTGTTTTGACTCAATTCCACCTAATAAGGAAAGAGAGCACTAAGAAATCATTGATCTCCATAGAGTTGTAAACGAGCTGAACCGAGCTCAAGCTTAGAGTGCTCAAGCTCGAGCCCTTAACAAGCCAAGCCGAGCTCAGCTCATTAAGTATGTGAGCTTGAAATCGAGCTCGAGCTCGGTTCGTTAAGGTCTTGAGCTCGAGCCTTAACGAGCCGATCTCGAACTTAAACAAGCGAACTATAAAAAATTATATAAAAATTATTTTTCGAGCCTCAACAAGCCTTATCAAGACAAGTCGAGCTCAGCTTGTTGGCCAAACGAGCTTTAAATGAGCTCGAGCCCCAAATCAAGCCAAGCTCGTTTAATTTAACAGCACTTTGCACATCAGTATTTGAAATTCAATCTCACTAAAGATTTTACAAATGTAGACAAAAAACTCGTGGGACAAAAAATGAAAAGTATCAGTATTTGCATTTACCCACATTCATCTACAACAAACATAGAAGGTTTCAATTCAAATGGGATTAAATGCTCATTCTATTCAATGATTTAGGTCAAATCAAATCAGTTAATAACAACAAAATCCAATTTTGATCAATTTCCCCCCATAAAGCAGATGTTAAAGCACTTCATATTTCACATCACAAAATAGACTTTCTCCATTGAATATAACCAGTGCATAATTCTTGATAAGGGTACAACTACGTTCTTCTCACTAGTTTCTACACAAAATTAAGGCTAGTAAACCTGAAAAAAGAGGAACAAGAGAGATTCAATTGCAGTTTGCAAGCCATAGGTCTAACCTAAGCCCGCTCGCCCCTGATTCTCCTGGCCAACTGGATATCCTTGGGCATAATCGTGACCCTCTTAGCATGAATGGCGCAGAGGTTGGTGTCCTCGAACAGGCCCACCAGGTACGCCTCCGCCGCCTCCTGCAGGGCGGAGACGGCGGAGCTCTGGAAGCGGAGGTCCGTCTTGAAGTCCTGCGCGATTTCCCTGACGAGCCTCTGGAAGGGGAGCTTCCGTATGAGCAGCTCGGTGCTCTTCTGGTACTTTCGGATCTCCCTGAGCGCCACCGTGCCGGGGCGGAAGCGGTGGGGCTTCTTGACGCCGCCGGTGGCGGGGGCGGACTTCCTGGCGGCCTTGGTGGCCAGCTGCTTCCTCGGAGCCTTGCCGCCGGTGGATTTCCTCGCAGTCTGTTTGGTACGCGCCATTTGATCAGTGAGTTGGATCAACGTATTAAGGGAATTTGAGATTAATTTGAGATTATGAGAAGAATGGTTGATGAAAATGTGAGTGTGTGTGTGTGGATTTTATAGGGACTGTGAATTTAGGGTTTGGGGAGGGAAATTCAGGCGGGTTGGGGGGAATTTGATCTTTTTGAAAGAGGGGATGTATATTGGCCGTTGGATGTGAAGTAGAATGAAGGGTGGATATTAAATGTGATGGAGTGCAAAAAAAATCGGTTATCCGGATGAGGAATGAGTAGCCAATGGGAAAGCAGAAGCTGGCTGTGTTGTGATAGGATATGTCAGCCGTCGATAGACACTTGGCTTTCGACGGTTCAAATTAAGCTCTTGAGTTAGGTATCTATATATATATAAAAGTGAAGCAGCTGGAAAAAAAATCTTTTTCCCTCCAAAACTACATTTATTATACTGAATAAATTTTGTTAACTTCTATGTAATACAATCATAAACATAATTACTTTTTACAAAA